AAAAGGAACTTACAAGTGGAAAATTTGTACCTTTGCAAGATCTCCTTGATACATCCCAGTCTTCACTCTGACCCAAATATTACTAGAAATATCAAGTGCTTCACTTTGTACCGAAAGAACATCGGTCATCTCGTGCATCGGGACAAACAACATATTGCGTGGGTATATATTTTGCATACCCGTAACAGCCTGTAGGAAAACGAATAAGAGTTTTCACGCCCATACTAGGTGCAAATACCAAGATATCGAAATATGAACATGAAAAGTGAAAAGAAAACGAAAAAAACAAAAAGAAAAAAGGAGGCACTTTTGCTACTTACCTCCTTCACATGGACTTCTTTCTTGGCCTCAACGTATATGAATCCCTTGAGGTGATCAAGTGCCACAGCAGAAAAGATTTTCATTTCACTTCCTACATCAATGGACTTCTGCATGAGGCGTATGGCTAGCTCCCTTTCACACCCAATCTACATAATTACAAAATAAAAAACCCAGTTTACATACACTCGATTCGGAACAAAATTAAAAGGCATAAAGATTACATTTTTATCTTACCTTGCATTTCACCAACCACATTTTCGGGCCGAAAAGTGAAGGCAGCGGGCCTTGCTGTTCCCTGTACGCCGGCCCCTCATCATCACCATACTCGACTTTCGAGTCGTTGGAATATCTCTCCAAAATCCGCCTCTCCATTTCTTCAATATCTTCTTCTTCTTCATAACTTACATTCAGAGGGATCGGACTATGTCGATTGGCCCGTCTATCATCCTCATGGAGCGTTCCATCCCCAGAGTCGATAAAATCTACACATCGATGCAGGACAACACATGAAGCATTAATTACACAACCCACACAGCACAAAAATACAGTAGGGCCTCAAATCCAATCTCATTAGCTGAAACTACTAAACAATCGAATTCTCAATTGATGAAATAACTTAAGAAATCACAGAAAATCCCATGTTATCTGAAATTTAGGGTTTTTCGATGTCAAAAAATTGTTCCCAATTTGATCTTCTTGCACAATTGAGACGCGAAATTGAACAAGAAACAGAGCAAATCCCCGCCGCAAACGAAAAAACGAACGAAAAAGAACAAATCAACAAAGGGATTAACAAAACCCTAACCCTCTTCCCCTTCGTATTCATCCTCCTCTTCTTCGCCGTCGCTGTCCTCATGGGCTTCCTCCTCGAAGAAATCGGACACAGACTTCCGACGCCGCTTGCCGCGGCGGCCCACCTCTTCGTACGGGTCCAGGCCGCCGTACTCTTCCTCTCCACGGCGAGGCATCGCGGCTGCTGATTGGGAAAAAACGAAAAAACTGTGAAGAAAAAAAAGAAAAGGGAGATTATAAAGGTGGTGGAGATTTTGTAGTGTAGAGATTGAATCGTTGCAAAAACCCGCGACAAACAACTAAAGGCGAGTACACGCCTGTGTGTATTTATAGTTTTGGAGTTTGAAAATTTTTAGGGATCAAATGGGCTGGGCTTATCGATTTAATTGGACTTTGGAGTTTGGATATCGTTATTGGGCCACTCTAGATTTGTTTTATAGGAATTGTAGGAAAAATATATTAATTTGTTAAATAAAATAAATGTTTAATTAATTTGAGTTCTTCCATAATTTTATCAAAAAGTAAGGCTTGATAATTATTTTTACTAAGTTTCAATATTTAACTTTTATTCATAAAGGTAGATATAATTATATCTCATATATCCAATGTGAATGTCAAATTGAAAATTGTATTAAAAGATAATTACTTTGATATATTATATGTAAATATATAAAAACAAATATAAATTTAATAAGTTTTAAAATATATATTAAATTTAAAGTTATCAAGTATTTTATAATTTTATAAGTTCTAATATGCAAGGATAAAAACCTAAATATACATGCAATAATATGAAACACTAAAAGTTAACAATTACGATTACATAACACCATAACTTGACACATACGATTACGAAAAGTTAACATTTAAGTTCAAAAAATTTGGATTTACGATTAAAATATTGCATAGCATTTAAAATCTTTTATTCTAATTCCTATTTAATTGGGTGAAGAGTATCACACCATTACACCAGCACAAAATTCTTGTCCCAAATCATAGATAATCAATATATAAAAAGTATCTTAATCATAAATTATTATCATTATTATAATGTAACCAAATTATCAAATTAATCAAAAGCTTAACG